CCGGGCGTCCAAACACTCATTTCACGCCCAAACCGGGCGCCGGCAGCATGAACGGACGCCCACTTTGGGCGTCGGTTCATGCAGCCAGCGCCCGGTTTGGGCGTTTGGCTCTAACTTCCGAAAAATTCAAAAGCCCTACAAATCGATTTGTAGGGCTTTTAAACATGAAATTGGTTGCAAAATCGAGTTACCCATTGCATATAACACATGTAGGTGTTGAAATTACCTGAAAAAATCGAAGCCCAAGCTCGATTTTGGTTGATTTCGAAATTTTTCGAAAAAAAAAAAATTTTCTGAAATTTTTGGAATGGGGGTAATTGGAGAGAATTTCGAATTTTAGGGGTTTTAGAGAGATAAACTGTTTTTTACTTTGAACGGTAAATAGCAGTTATTAACCCGTAAAGAGCATTTTCTTATTTAAATCAATTAATTGTGGTTGGTGGGCCTAGAAATTGATGGGCCTATTAATTTGGGTCAGAAATAAGCAGCCGTTTCTTTTAGAAGAGTGTGGAAATATAAAGTGAAAGAGACAAATGAACACCCAGCTGTCTTTTTCATATTTAATTAATTTATCTGAATGGGGAAATGGGCCAATATTATTTTTTTATTAATGGGTCAGTTGTGGGGCTGTAATCAACCCTAAACCAATATCATCCGATCCACCACACAAATTTCCGTGGCTAGCAGGCTGTCCACGTGTCGAACTATGCACGTTCCACTCTCTCTCCTCTTTTTTATTTCAATAAATCTTTATATTATTTGCGCTGGGTACACGTGGGGCTGCCTCCACGTGGCATTTGGAAATTCCATTCTAAACGCAATTCCAGGTGTCCAATTTTTTTTTTCATCTACATTTTCGTAAATCATTTTTTTAAATAAATAATTTTCCCTTGCTTTTGAATTATATATAGCAAACAGAAAAATTCATAAAACTTTGTGTCCAAGTAATTGAAGAATAAAATTAAATCTGATGAATTCTTCAAATAAATTATATTTGACGAACTTATCAAATATTTAAATTTATAAATATACTTGACCAAGGTTCATGAGTGCTTTTAAAATAAGAAATCTAATTATTTAATTGTTATTATGATGCATTCACAGTGTTACAAATAAAATATGAAATTTATTTGTACACTTTTTTGATAAGTATGGAATTAATTAAAATAGAAAGAGTAAATCCATAAAAAGAAAAGAATCAGATACGGAAACGAATCATATACCAATTATTTTCGTGATGCCAAGCGTTAGGGGCAAATTAGTCATAGAATAACAATTAGCGGCAAATTTAAGCGGAGGGTAAATGTGTAATTACCTCGAGACCTGGTGGAGAACGCATCTTCTACCCTATTTAAAGAGCACCTCAAACCCTCACAATCTCCATTAATTCGCTCCTCCGCTAATCGAAACCCCAGAATTCTCTCTCTCTCTCTCTCTCTCTCTCTCTCTCTCTCTCTCTCTCTCTCTCTCTCTCTCTCTCTCTCTATAATCTCCTTCGATCGAGAGCTGTTTCTTGTTGGAAAGAGAAGATAATCTCAAATCGGTTGCTATAATTCGTCATACATCAATCGCCAATTATTGTAAGTAGCTGGTTTATCCTTTAATCTGCTCTCTGTATTTTTTTTTCGTTTTCTTCTTTGTTCTTATTTCAATAATCGGATCTCGTTGTTTGCATATGTTTTTTTGAATTTTTTGTGTTCGATTTGGTTTTCTGGTTTTATATTTCTTTCTATTTTTCATGTGCTCTTTTCTCATGCTTATGTAATAAACCCTAGCTACAGAATGTGGTTCCGATTTTGTGAAATATATGTGCAGATCTATTTAGCGAAAATCGACTAAATACAAATTAATGTTTTTGTTGAGTTTCACTCTAATTGTAAATCTATTTACCTAAAGGCGAAAGGAGATTTCAAAATTAGGTAATTGTGTTTCAAATTGGTGAAGTTTCTGGACTTGATAGAAACTAGGTAGAGGTTATAAGTCCTGGGGATTTAATTTTCATGTTTGAAATATTTCATTAGCATCTTACAGAGCACCTAATGCGTTTTTTTCCGGCTAATTGATGCTATTTTTTGTTGTTTCTGCTGCTATTTTTCCCTTGCTAGTTATGTTGTTTTCTCGTCTAACACGCGTTTCCTTTTTCAGGGATAATTGAATGTTCTAATGGAATCGAAAGCTGGGAAGAAGTCTAGCAGTAGTAGATCCGTGTTTTACGAAGCTCCCCTAGGATACAGCATTGAAGACGTTAGACCAAACGGTGGAATCAAGAAATTCAGATCTGCTGCATACTCCAACGTGAGTTCCGATTTACAATTTTCATTTCCTCTCTTATCCGTGTCGATTCATTGTTTTGTATTGTCTACCATCATGCGAATTCTAATCAATGTACTATGTTTTTCTTATGCAGTGCGCTCGCAAGCCTTCCTGAGATTTATCAAGTGTCGAATTAAAACCACACATACAGTGATTTTAACAGAATAGAGCCATCAACCTTCAAACTCTGCCCTCTTTATTTTATTCCTTCCTCATCTTTTTTACTCCCTCTCTGAACCATCACTTTTATCTCACTAAGCCGAAATGGAAATGCCTGCCTCAGCAATCGGCTTCGAAGGCTATGAGAAGAGGCTCGAGATTTCATTTTCCGAGCCTGGTGTATTTGCTGACCCTTCTGGGTCCGGACTTCGATCCCTTTCGAAGTGCCAGCTGGATGAAATCTTAGACCCAGCACAGTGCACCATTGTCTCATCTCTCAAGAACGATGATGTGGATTCCTATGTCCTATCCGAGTCCAGCCTCTTTGTCTACCCATACAAGATCATTGTGAAAACTTGTGGGACCACCAGACTTCTGCTTTCAATCCCACCCATACTCAAAATGGCCGATACACTCGGGCTGACTGTGAGTTCCGTTCGCTACACCCGCGGCAGTTTCATATTTCCAGGCGCCCAGCCGTTTCCCCACCGGAGCTTCACCGAAGAAGTAGTTGTTCTTGATGAACATTTCACCAAACTGGGTCTCATTAGCAAAGCTTACGTGATGGGGGGTGCAGATGAGTACGAAAAGTGGCACGTGTATTCTGCATGTGCCGCCACGTCAGCGACCGAAACGGTCCCTGTTTACACCCTGGAGATGTGCATGACCAATTTGGACCAGAAGAAAGCCTCCGTCTTCTTCAAGAACCAGTCCAGCTCTGCAGCTGTCATGACTGAGGTATCGGGAATCAGAAAGATCCTTCCTGAATCTGATATTTGCGACTTTGACTTCGAGCCGTGTGGCTACTCCATGAATGCGATTGAAGGTGGGGCGATTTCGACAATTCACATCACCCCGGAAGATGGGTTCAGCTACGCCAGCTTTGAGGCGGTTGGGTATGAGTTCGAAAGAGACGATTTGAGCCAGCTTGTGGAGAGGGTGCTGGATTGCTTCAAGCCAGCAAAGTTTTCTGTGTCTTTGCATTCTTCTGTTTCTGGGGATGAAGTCGATACCGAGTTTGGTGCACTGGATATTGAGGGGTATAGGTGTGGAGAAAAGAGCTTCGAAGAGCTCGGTGATGGAGGAGCAATGGTGTACAGCAGCTTCACTAGCAATGGAGGATGTGGGTCCCCCAAGTCTACTCTGCAGTGCTGCTGGAGTGAGAATGAGGATGAGGAAGTTTCTGCCAAGAAATGATTTTATTATCTCTCTATATATAACTATATTCTTCTTTCACCGGTGTGTCTTTTATTTGAAAACTGGAATATTATATTATTATCTTTAGTGTTGGAGAAAATAAATTTGATCGGAGTGAAGATTGATATATATTACTGCTGTTTGTAATGAAGTCTCAGATATTGATATATGTATTACTACTGGTTGCAATAAACTTATGGATTGCTTATATATTACATTTCTGGTTTCTACTTTTCCACTACTAATAAGTAATAACCATGAAAAAGAAGAAAGTTGAGCAACAGATTGCAGTTATTTTTGGAAAAAAATGCACGTGATGATTGAAGTACGTATGAATTGTGCACATTAAGGAATTTGACAACACATTACGGTATTTGATAACAAAAACCTGAATAGTTGGGTAAATTTTCTAGATTATGTGAAATATTCTTTAATTTGGATCCATTTGAAATGATCTTAATATGTGTCCCTTGACTTATAAATATTAGTTTATGGTGTATCGGATACTGCATTATTGCACAAAACAAGTACAAACTAGAGAACGTTTTACGGGTTGTTGTAATTATCCAAACATAAAGGGTCTTTTTGTAGTTTAATCTTACCTCAAGGAGGTGGCAGTAATTAACCCCTGAAAAGTTTAATTGCCTTTTAAAATGAAATAAATACAGAGACAAAAGCCCATGATGTAAACAGAAAACCAGGTATTTAAACAAGAAAAACTTTTAATTCATCCAAAGAAAATAAGAAAAAAACTTGGAAAAAAAAAATGAAAAGAAAAGATTTTGAAACTTCTTCAGTGTATTCCTTTCCTTCTTCTCTCAGCTTTCAGCTGGCACTCTGTTACACTTCTTAAATCAAACACAGCGATGATGTTCGAAGAAATTTCTACCTTTATCACCACTAATTTACGGATTTCACGAAACATAGCGACAGATAGAAATTTCTACTTGTCGTTCGAGTAAGATCTTTATTCGTCGATGGAGGGTTTAATTTCCGCGAGCGGCGAACGCCGACTAGTTAAAGCAGTATGCGCAGTTGTAATAAAGGGGTACTGGGACAAACTCTTGAAACCAAAGATTGGTTCTTTAGTGACGTCATCTGTCATGAACCAATCATTGCTGGATCTTTCTCCATACTCGGTTTCAATTTCATGGTCCTTCTTCAAATGGGTCGACACGATTCCACAGTACAAGCATTCCTTGCAATCTTCTTGGTTGATGATATGCATCCTCACAAAACAGAGGCACCTCAAAACTGCTCAGAATTTGCTCGAAAAGATCGCCCGGAGAGATTTCTTGTCGTCTCCGACTGTTTTGAACGCCCTCGTAAACAGAGACGGTGACTCGGGTGTGAATTCGCATGTTCTGAGCTGGCTGGTGATATTTTATGCCAATTCGAAGAAGAATCCGGATGCACTCCAAGTGTTTGATCATATGCGCGTGTGTGGTTATAAGCCCCATTTGCACGCTTGTACCGTGCTTCTTAATTCGTTGGTCAAAGAGAGGCTGACCGATACTGTGTGGAAAGTCTACAAGAAAATGATGAAAGTTGGGGTTGTTCCGAATTTACATGTCTATAATGTCTTGATTCACGCTTGTTCCAAGTCCGGGGATGTAGAGAAGGCCGATGAATTGTTGAGTGAAATGGAGTCGAAAAACGTGTTTCCGGATATTTTCACGTACAACACGTTGATTTCGCTGTACTGCAAAAAGGGTATGCATTACGAGGCTTTATCCGTTCAAGATAGGATGGAAAGAGGAGGAGTAAGTCCCGATATTATAACTTATAATTCGCTGATTTATAGTTATTGTAGAGAAGGCAGAATGAGAGAGGCTTTGAGGCTTTTTAATGATATTATTACGCGTGTTTCTCCGAACCATGTGACGTATACTACTTTGATCGACGGGTATTGCAGAGTTGGTGATATAAACGAAGCATTAGCGCTTCGTGGTACAATGGAGGCGAAAGGGTTGTACGTTGGGGTGGTGACTTATAATTCAATTTTACGGAAATTATGCGAAGAGGGGCGGATACAAGATGCGAATAAACTGTTGAATGAAATGAGTGGCAGAAAAATCGAAGCGGATAATGTCACGTGCAATACATTAATCAATGCGTATTGCAAGATCGGAGATATGAAATCCGCTTCGAAAATCAAGAACAAGATGTTGGAGGCCGGATTAAAACCCGATGAATTCACTTACAAGGCATTGATTCATGGATTCTGCAAATCAAGGGATGTAATAAGTGCGAAAGAGATTTTACTCGATATGATCGGCTCTGGATTTTCTCCGAGTTATTGCGTATATTCATGGCTTGTGGATTTTTTAAACGACGACGAGGCTGTCTTGAAACTGCCGGACGAGTTGGTGGAAAAGGGTCTCTGTGCTGATGTCACGGTTTATCGGGCGATAATTCGGAGGCTGTGTAAGAAAGAAAGAATCGACTGTGCTCGAAGGGTGTTCGTAAATATGCAGACGAAGGGCATATTAGGAGATGCTGTTATATATACTAATCTGGCTTATGCGTATTCGAGATGTGGCGATGCTGTATCTGCTTCGGCTTTGTTCGACGAAATGTATAAGAGGAGATTGATGGTGACTTTGAAAATATTCAAAAGTATTAACGCTTCGTACGCGAATGATAGCGGCTCGTTAGACGTGTTGTGGAAAAGTATGGTCGAGAGAGGATTGATTTCGAAAAGTATCTACAAACAAATCCAGCAACTGAATATGTAATTCTAACTAGAAATTGACGACGTCTCGACAAAACGGTGCTTCGGGTTTATTTTTTTTGGCAGGTATTGTGAATCTTTACGTTTACGTAGACATCGATTTTGCAATGTTATCAGGCACTCATTTGCAGCTCCATTCTAAAAGCTTGTTAAAATAGGGGAGAAGCACCTTTTAGTAAATTTGCAATTCAAAGTTAAAAAATGCATTTTAAAAAGTTTTTTTTTGCTGGTTTATACATTTATTAATAATAAATAGGGCAAATTACGGCCACCCTTGAGGTATGGCCAAATTACAAAAAAAACCCTCTTGTTTGGGTAATTACAACCAATCCCCTCCTTTTGAATATTTTTACATAAAATTTATTTAATTCGATTATTTATCGGAACACATCGTTTATTTAGTTCAGTAAACAGTATGAAATGTTGGCGTACCGAAAATTCGGTTCGATTTTACCGAATTAACATTCCTAAAATTTACCTCTAGAGGGGTTTTTTGTAAGATAATACATAGTTGAGGAGGTGGCTGTAATTACCCAAAAATGAGGGAGTTTTCCTAATTTGACAATAACTAAGGGGTGGCCGTAATTTGCCCTAAATATAATCCTAGTTTATTTTATTACCCTTTTGAATAGCTCTTCCCAGTGAATAGGCAGCCAGCCAATGGACATTGATTCATATGCTTCTGTGGATTGACACGTGGCGAATTATAATAGGGAGTCAAATGTCGAATACAGAATGTGACACGTGTCAACATCTTAACTAGGCCTCACTTAGTATAAATACCACAGCCAACATATGTTTTCAAATCACAAACAAATTTAGTATTTCAATACACTCTTCTCTCTGCTTTTAATTTTCTGTATAATCAGATTTTCATAATCAAGAAAATGGATAACTCCAACAACATGAGCTACCAAGCTGGCCAGACCAAGGGCCAAGCTGAGGTTTACCCCCCACCCCCCACCCCCCACCCCCACCCCCCCATATATATATATACATACATACATATACATATAGAAGCTGAATAATGTGAATGTGTTGAATGCAGGAAAAGGGCAACCAGATGATGGAGAAGGCAAGCAATGCTGCACAGTCTGCCAAAGAATCGATGCAGGAGGTATGTATATATAAATATTCGACTCTCGAAACAATTTTTTATTTTATTTATATATAAATAAATATATCATAATTACTATTTAATTGGATGGGTATTTAATTGGTTGTGTTGTATAGATTGGACAGCAGGCTCAGGCCAAGGCGCAAGGTGCAGTCGACGCTGTCAAGAACGCAACCGGGATGAACAAATGAGAGCTTCACTTTTTTCGTCTCCGGTTTCTTAATTTTTAATTTGTCTCTTTTTTTTTCGAGTTATTTGTTTGAAGTTTTGGAGTTTAGATTTGATGAAGGGGCAATGTTTGGTTGCTCCTGTGTTAGGTATTTGGAAATTTCTTGTGCATGTTTCTTCTTTTCTCATCTGTGTGAGGAAACATGATTTTGTAATGTTCTCTTTTTGATCTAATAAATATCGTTTTTTTTTAGCTTTCTTTATTTTCTTCGGTAAAATTACGAAAACCCTCCTTGGGCTGAATTACGAAAATCACCCCCACTTATCCGTAATTACCGAAATCCTCCTAACGTTTGTTACCGTCTTTACACCAACCCCCATTTTTTCACGGAATCTTTTTGAATCCATGGAATATTCTTCAAAATGCCGATTCTACCTATGAGGGTAAGTTTTGTCTTTAAATAGTAGCATACAGAAATACCACGTGTGCAGTGGTAGAATTGATATTTTTGCGAAATATTCTCTGTAATAAAAAAGATTCGGTGAAAAATCACATCGTAAACATAAACAAATGTCTGGGAATTTTGATAATTACATATAGATGTGGGTGTTTTTTGTAATTTTGAGGGATTTCGTAATTTATCCTTGTCTCTTTCTTTCATCTCGTAAGATCAGAAATTCAAGCACTATGTAAGCAAAATAATTGTCACTTGTAATTAAGAATTTGAAGTTAAAGATCTTAATTCATAATAATCAATAACCATTCCATAAAAAATATCATTTATTGATGACATTTAAATTAAATTATTTGAAAATCATTTAAAATCCTTAAATATAATCCAAAAATTAAATCCAAAGAATCTCCAATATCAAATTCAATGTTAACCTAAACATTGGTGATAGTGATAACGCATCAATATTAACTATTTATTTTTTCATAAAAAAAAAAAACTATTTATTTTTAATTTTATTAAAAAAATCTTTCCTTCCGAAAAAAAGTACTAATTTTTCCACGTGGATTTTCCAAGTAAATTGTATTATTTGATATTAGCATTTTTTCCCCGTGCGATGCACGGAATATGAATTCAAAAGTGAAAAAAAAAAATCAATTTAGTAATGTAGTTTTACTCCTATTTTATAATATAGTACATTAACATAGTAAAATTTAATAATGTAGTATTACTCATATTTTATATAACATTAGCTTTTTAAATCTTACATATTAAGATTTATAATCCAAATATATAGGTTTAGATTTAACAAATCAAATTTCGATCTTTATATATTAAGATTTGAGATATATTGATGAAAAATAGGAGATTGATAATTGTTGCAAATTAGTACAGAAAAAATATTAAAAATAAATAATTACAGAAATACTATTAGGGTTTTTTAGGGTTGTCCAGCGTTTATTTCTTTTATATATTTCAATCGTAGCATATACTAATAATTAATATAATTATAAATGAAATAAATTATTGATTTGGGGTCTGTTGGGTTATTTACTAATTAATATACATACAGTCGTTCTCTTCACCACCTTGCTCAGAAAGAAAAACAAAACCCCGCCGCGATCCGTCTGCAACTATGAGAAATCAATGGCTGCGCGTGCTTCTCCTCCGCTGCCACGCTCCATCTCAGGTAAATCACCTCCGCTCCTTCACTTCTGCAATTCTCCACCCACGCGCGCCTCACGTGACCCCAAAACCCTCCCCCTTCCGTCATCAATTCACGTCGTCCCCTGAGTCCGCCGTTCGTCCGCCCGAACCCTTGTCCGATGAAGCTACTCTATTAGTAGAGTCATTTGCTAAATCCGGGAGTTGCGACGACGAGATCAACTTAGATTTAGATTCTAAGAACGTGTCCCCGACGGATGATTTGATTTTGAGTGTCCTAGGGCATCCGGCCACCGATGAAGGCGTCGCGGAGCGGATTAGCGCTTGGGTTTTCGAGACTCAGAGCGAGGCATTTAGCGCTAGGGTTTTCGATTTGGCTTACGATAGTGAGAATAGAAATTTGGATTTCATGATTTGCTGTTGGGTAATTGGGGAGGGGAACGTGAAATTGAGCTCAAAGGCGTACAATTTGCTGCTTAAGTTTATCAGCCGCCGTGGTCTCGTGAAGGACGCTTGGTACGTGATCGAGGCTATGTATTCGGAAGGGTACGCTGTGTCGGAGAGCGCGTTCGATGTAGTTTCCGAGAACGTCTATCGACACGGGTTGTGTAGTGATCTCGAGAGGTTGGAGTGGGTATACGCTGACATGCACAGTTCTGCCGTTACTGCGATCGTCAAAGCGTGGGGAGATGATGTGGAACAGCAGCTGCAGGAACTAGGTGTGGAGCTTTGCAGTTGTCTGGTTTCGATGGTGTTGGTGGATTCCGAAACGGGTCCCGATAGAGCCTGGATTTTCTTTAGGTGGCTTGTGGAAAGAAATCTCTTCAAGCACGATCGACGGACGTATAACTCAATGGCTAGGGTGTTGAGTGAAGAAGATCATACTCGAACATTTTGGAGGTTCCTTGATGAAATGAGAAACGAAGGGCACACGATGGAGAGGTATACCTATGTTGATATCGTGGAGCGTTTTGTCGAGAGGAAAATGATGAAGGATGCTGTCGATTTGTATGAATTCGCAATGGTTGGATGGGATAAGCCTTCTCTGGAAGACCGCATTTTCCTTTTAAAGAAAATTGTCGGCGGCGAAGAATTGGATATGGACTTATTCTCGAAATCCTTGGTGGTATCAAAGGCCCGCGGAAATGTTTTGACCTTTAGTGATTTGGATTCGGTTATAACGTCGTTAGCTAGTGCCTAGTGTTGGTAAAATGGCGGAGTGCGGTAGAGTATTGTTGGCAATGGAGGAGCATGGTTTTGTACTTGGTGAATCTTCACAATCGAAGAACTTATCGGCTTCCGGAAACATTTCATGTTATGGAACTTGGGTATGTTTAGTCAACGGGTATTGCGAGGCTCGCGATTTTGATGGAGCTTCTAGAAGTTTCCGTGCAATGGTTGAGAAAGGAGGCGCCTCGTGGGGCGGACACGCATTAGACTTGTTGGTCGGTGCTTATTGTCGGGAAAATAAACCGTTGGATGCGTACAAGTTTGTTGCTGAAATGGTGAATGGTAAAGGCGTAAGCCGTTGGAATTCAACGTGCAAAGCGTTGGCTAGCAAACTATTGGCTGAGAATTACTTCAAAGAAGCTATAGATGTGATGACTATGATGAAGTTGGACGAGTATAAAGCCCGCAAGCCCGATTTGGATCCGTTTGTTGAGTATCTGTCGGAGACTGGTTCTGCTGAAGACGCGATTGTGTTCTCACAAGCGGTGCCGTTGGATAGATTTTCGTCAACTACTGTCGTGTTTATCCGGTTATTTGAGGAGTATCGTAGAGCTGGAAGGGAGAGTGTGGCACGGGATTTCCTTTTGAAATTCCCTAGCTACGTTGAAAACCATGCCGATGTTTTGGACCTGTTTTATTTGAGGAAATGTTCGGGAATCGAGAGTGAAGCTGTGGCTGTATAGCATTTTCGATTCAATTCTTCGATTTCTTTATTTATTTTTTGAAAATTTATTGTTGCCTCCTTTGCTGTTTTCCAGTTATTTGTAGTGGAACATGTCTGAATTTTTTTTATATGAATAAACCAATACAATCATCCCGGAATCTTGATTTCTCCTCGTCTTTTTTCCCGATCTTCAGTAGAACGAACGGATTTATGTTGAATTTATCCTTCCATTTCTAATTTTTCTCTATATCCAGATTTTCGTTAGCTACCAAAGAATCGATGCAGGAGGTATGTAAATATATAACCGATCATTTCAACAACGCCCAACTTTTTTTATAAATTCTGATAATAATTACGATTTTCTCGGATGGGCGTTTTCTTAATTTCGACTTATAATCTCGGGATTGTTTTGTGGCATAGGTTGGTGCGGTTGACTGATGCTGTGAAGAAAGCAACATGAATCAACAAATGAGAGCTTCATCTTTGTTGAAGTTTTCGAGTTTAGATTTTTTGATCAAGAGCAACGTTTGAAAAATTCGAATCCTCGACTTCTACTCACCCGCCAATAATCCGTTAAGCTGAAAACCATGGCGATTGTATTCCAATGTTAATAATTTCTTGATATTGTAATGTTCTCATTTAGTATTCATTTTCGTCTTTAATATTCTAAATAATCAACTCTAGTTCATGAAATTATTTTGATATTTGAAGATTAATTTCATCTTTTGCCGAGATCGTATATTATTATATGATAAGTCAAATTAATTTAAATAATATTATATGAACACGAATTATTTCTTTGGGGTCAATTTGGGTATTTACTACTGTACGGTCTCCAAAAACCCTAATCGACAATCTCGAAAAAACCCTGAACTAGTGAGCTTTCTCTTCTCCACTCTGCTCCGAAGAAAAACGACGTCGCGATCTGACTGTAACTATGAGAAATCAATGGCTGCGGTTGCTTCTCCTCCGCTGCCACGCTCCATCTCAGCCGCGCGTTGCTCAGGTACACCATCTACGCTCCTTCACTTCTGCAATTCTCCACCCACGCGCACCTCACGTGACCCCCAAACCCTTCCCCTTGCGTCATCATTTCGCGTCGTCCCCTGAGCCCGCCGTTTATCCGCCCAAACCCCTGTCAGATGAAGCTGTTCAATTAGTGG